CATATCATAAATATGAATTAAATTTTCAGCGCTTTTATCCACATCATTACAGATCAATACTTTTTATTCCAGTTTGCAGTAGATAAAGATTTTTTTATTTTGTCATCTTGCATAACAGTTCTTAATGGAAACATATCATAAATTATATAGGTTTAGAGATGAATTAAATTTTCAGTGTTTTTATCCGCATCATTACAGATTTACAGATCAATATTTTTCATTCCAGTGTGAAGTAGATACAGATTTTGTAATTTAGATTGAGATTTAAATCTAAATCAATTAGATTTAAAAATTTAAACTGAGGTTCGAGAAAATTGCACTTAATTATTATTTTTGGTTAAACGTTTTCAAAGTTATTTATTTAATTATTAAACATCTTATAAAATTTTCACAATGTTAACACCTAATTTACCTAATTTTTATCTAATTTACCCTACTCGAAATTCTGGTAAATACAAACATGCGCTGCCATACCGACATAATTTACTATTTCCCTCAATTTACCATCAATTTACTTGAATTCGCACACGTCCTTAAGATAAATAAAACTTAATATATTCATAAAGCAAACATTATTATTGAGCAATCAAGGTATTGTATCATAACGAACATAGAAAGAAAACATTAAGAAATCTAAATAATTTACCTAATTTTTATCTAATTTATCCTACTCGAAATTCTGGTAAATACAAACATGCGCTGCCATACCGACATAATTTACTTTTTCCCTCAATTTACCATCAATTTACTTGAACTCGCACACGTCCTTAAGATAAATAAAACTTAATATATTCATAAAGCAAAGCAAACATTATTATTGAGCAATCAAGGTATTGTATCATAACGAACGTAGAAAGAAAACATTAAGAAATCTAAATATCAGCCACTTAGTCAACTTTTACGTACTTCTAAAAACACTTAAGAAACTCCTGTAAAAAGACATGCACATGTTATTGTAAGCGCCGTGTGTCCCACAATTTATATTCAAAGTACATAACCTTAATGCATATACGAGTACCTATTCTACACATTATTTTTTTCACACAAACTGTGGGTTAAAAGAGCAACGCATTTAAACAACCCATATAGCTGCATAAACACAAATACATACATGGTAAATACATTAAAAATATTAAATAAATTCTAAAAAAAAGAAAAATTGATAAGATGTAATAGAAAAGATCACAGCTGAGGCTTTCATTCACAAAAAACCGTTATCATTTCAAAGACATTGAAAATAAAATCGCAAAGCGCAAACTCTTAGCACACTTCTAGGCAACAAAGCGTATTGTCGATTACATTCCACAAATGGAAGTTACTCAATTCCAAACAAGTTACACAATTTGTGAAGAGCGTAAAAGTAGGGAAATGAACACATGTTGTGGACTCACCTTTACAAGCATTTAGCAGCACCAGCACCACCAGCAGCAGCAGCAAAGGAAATTAAACTTATAAGCGTTACGCGTTTAAAAATTTAAACTTCAAAATGTTGAATGTTAACACAAATGTTTTGCATGGAACGCCAAAACTTATGCAATAAAATTTTTTAAATTTAATGCAAATAATTTATTGTACATCACAGGCATTTTTTAGGTTAAATTTCATTAAAATTAATAATAAACAAAATATTTTCATGTATGTGTATATGCTTTTTTGCTTACATCAAAATTAATGTAGTAGTTTATTATTATTTTGTTGTTGTTGTTGTTATTATTGTTATTAGGAATCAAAAGTTAATATATTTTCTCTGTCTTTTTAGGAATTATATTTTTTTAATTTGTTTATAGTGAGTATAAGTATGTAGTAATTTTAGTTACAATTTGTTAACTTCAATCAGAAATCGCAAATCGCTTAAAGCAAACGACAGCTATCGCCCCAACGTAAGGACGTCTTTTGAGACGGACTATTTCGCGTTTTAAAACGTAACCCGCACATGTGCGCCAAACAAAAAATAATCACATATTTTACGCATGAAAACTAAATTTTACCAATGAATTATTAATGTATTTGCACCTGAACTTGTAAATTCTTTGTGTTTCTTTTGTGTTTTATATAAGATTATGTAACTGTTAGCTGCTCAAAGCAGTTCAATGTCGTAACAATAACAAAAATATTTTCAATTTTTCGGATTAAATAATTAAATCAACAATATAACTTTTATATAAATTTTATATAAATTATATAAATTAACAATGAATTTTTATTAAAAGCGCCTAATTTTATGCTGTGATTTTTTTAAATTTGATTTGTTGTGTCCCCAAACTCGCTCACTGCCGAAATTCTTGTGCGAATCGTTACTGAGCATCGACCATTTAAAAGTCATTAGAGAGCGCCAAGAAGTGGGCTTGTAGGTTATTAGTTGTGGCAGGTAATTACCCGTCTGCTTCCACTGTTATGTACTGTTATTAAGGTGGGTAGAAACGAAAAGCGACGCTAAATTTTTAAAATATACTTTTTAATTATTTGATTTACACTTGAATTAAAAACTTTTTTAAAAATAGTTTACAATTCTTTTATTTATTTAATTTTGTGGAAATAAAATTTATTTTTATTATATTATAATTTATTTAGAAATCAAAATTTAAGAAAATTTTATGCGCTAAACACGTACGCCGTTTTTTTCGTTTTAACGGTTTCAGTGGCAAATTTGTAACTGATTTTGAACGCTTGGAAAACTCTGTTCAAAGGTATTTTATTTTTCCCCCTGCCCGTTCTTGGTTTAGTGTCTTTGTTGATGTGAAAAAATGTTTGAAATTCATTTTGTGGAGTTGGAGAAATTGTGGACTCTAGAATAATCATTTAAAAAAAATTAAAGGGGAAATATGTTACTTAGAGATGTAGAAGCCAGAAGTGGACTGTGTAAAAAAGGAGCAAATCATTTAACTGGAAATATTCGTGGGGAAGTTATTATGAAAAGGTGAAAAGCTTTCATTTGTGATTACCTTAAAATATTATATATTGTTATAAATAAATATTTAAATTATATTTATTAGCTATATTATATTTATTACAATTTTTATAGTATACTGGTGAAGAAATAGACTAAATAAAGTAGATTAAACGCGTAGACAACTGCATCTATAACGATAGCAGTATTAATGAGGGAATGCCCTATTAGTTTTCTATTATTACTTCAGATCTATTGTTGTAGCAAGTCATATAAAACTATACATGTGTATTATTTCGCACAATTGGATGATTTTTTTTGTTTTGGTGTACGTTGAAGTTTGGGGAATTATAGTGATATTTTCCTTCAGCCAAAAGATTTTATTGTCGTTCTAAATATACCCGAGCAGATATATATCATTTGTTTTACAGTTTTATTTAGTAAAAATATGTTGCACCTTACCTAATTAGCGTTCTCGTCAATACAAACATAAGGTTCTGTATGTTCTGTGAGAAATATGTCAACAGTATCACTCTTAGTAGTTTCTTTTTCGAACAAATTAGCCAACTAGATCTTTATGTAAATATTAATTTTCCATCTCATAGTTTGGATTTTAAAAGCCTGTTTTAGCAATTCCGTTACATTCTAAAAAGTCAGATAATATAGAATTCGTTATAGGTCTATAATGAATACGACCTCACTATTTCCATAAGATGTATTGTAAACCTGGATTGTAATAGCCGTCTTATTGTCGATATATACGTCTCTTTCTTCGTCGTGATTTTTTTGATAGTTTTTAAAATTTTCAGTATTTTATTGATTTTTTTAACTCGTTTTCCTATTGATTGACATTACTATTATAATAACTGTTCAATTATTTTAATACCGCATTTCTCTTCATTTTGTAACAAGAGGTATGTACATTACCTGCTTTATTTCCTTTATTTTAATATTATATCTGATCTTTAGACTTCAAAATTTTTAACTTACCGTAGTTGTTAGCTTAAATCATATTAAATATCATTATCACTATAATTTTCATTAATTCAAGAAGGATCATAAATCTTTCATCCTGGGATTCTATCAAATTTACAATTGCTGTAATTACTTAAGTTAAATGTGATAGCATCTAATAAAACTTAACTGTCACAAATTTTGGAATTCCTCTATTTTTATATCATGTTCTACTAAAATTAGGGGTAAGCTTATAAAAAGTTTATCCTAGATTCATCAAATATTTACTATATTTCAAAGGATGCTTGATAAGCGTTACTGAATAACTAAACTATTATATCTGATTCATACTGATTGTTATAACTACAACTACATAAACTCCAAAAACTCGGGTTTTGACTTATTCTAACATTAATTGTTATCTACGTATTCTAATACTTCATTTTCGTTTTTTTCATGTCTAATATAAAAGGTTTCTCTATAAAATTTATAAAAGTCTCGTAAACTGATTAAAATGTACCAATATAGACAGTATATAACAGCTGATTATAAACTCTCTTTAGCAATACAAATCGCAAATCATAAGTGAATAATTTTATTTTTTTAATAATTTATTCAATTGTGTCAGTCAATAATTTTTTTGCAATTTATTTAGGCTTTCATATTACTTTCCAATATGAAAGTATTGATAGTACAAGTATTGATAGTATTGTATACTCGGTTTTCAAGCATTCAGCATTTTAGTTTTGAGTATTATTTTCGTGCAGTAATATTTTCCCTATATAAAAAAACAAATTTTTTCTTTAACATTTAATTTTCAACTAATTATGAGATTGATTTAGCAATAGAACCTGTCTTTTAATAGTTTTCTAAGTATTACAAAATTTTCTCAATTCTTAAACACGTAATACGATAAACGATAACATATAAATATCGTAAATACACTATGAAAGCATTAAAAGAAAAAGCCGCTGTAAGAATTACATTACATTACTCTAACAAGTTTTGTTACTAATATAAAAATTATAATAAGTTAATATATATATATATAAGAGAATATAATGTACTTAAGTATATATATATTGTTTAACGAAGTTATATTATTTTTTATATGTATTAAAAATATTTTGCAAACACAATATAAGGAGTTGGCAACACTGTGGCACAGCTGATTTTAACTTTAACTATTAGCGTTGAATATTTCGCGATATGACAGCTAAAATAACATAAACAAAAAGATAAAAAAACATGGAAGAATTTAAGATACCAAGTATTCCAGTTACACTACCGAAAACTGATAAATATAGTGAAGAGAATGATGATATAGCAGAGATACCTCCGTCAAAAATAGAAACCAGTGAGGAAGCGGAACCAGTAAATACTTTAGCACAATGTTGCCCATACAAAATTCCGCCATGGTCAGGAGTTCCAACTAACAATTTAGTATATAAATTTGAAGTACTAAAATCGGGACAAATAATTGATCAAGTAAATGACTTACAGAAGCAAGCAACGTGGAAATTTGGACGCTTGCCGGCAAATGATATTGAAATGGCACACCCAACTATATCTCGTTTTCATGCCGTACTGCAATACAAACCGAAGTCAATTAATGAAGATAACTCAACTGGGAATATTATACAACCAGAAGGTTGGTATGTATATGATTTGGGCAGTACGCATGGTACCTTTCTTAACAAACAGCGGTTACCATCTCGTGTTTTTATACGCATACGTGTAGGGCACATGTTACGCTTAGGTGCCAGTACCAGAAATTATATATTGCAAGGTCCCACCGATGACGAGGAACCTGAATCTGAATTGAGTGTTACAGAATTACGTGCTCAAAGAGATGCACAAATTATTGCAGAAGCTCAGAGAAAAGCTGAAGAAGCATTAAAACGTGAAAAGAGTGAAGAAGTTAGTTGGGGTATGTCTGAAGATGCTGATGAAGAAACTGATCTTACACACAATCCCTTTGCGAGTACAAATAATGAAGAATTATTTTTGGATGATCCAAAGCGAACACTGCGTGGTTATTTTGAGAGGGAAGGTTTAACTTTAGATTATAAATGTGACGAAATGTCTGCGGGATCATTTATATGCCGTGTTGAGCTACCATTAGATGATGCAAATGGTCGACCAATTGTCGCAGAGGTGGTTCATAAAGGTCGTAAAAAAGACTGTGTTGCACAATGCGCATTGGAAGCGTGTCGTATACTCGATCGTCACGGAGTGCTAAGGCAATCCAATCAAGGTAATTTACTTCCAAATTATAATTTAGTGTAAACTAAGAGGAATTTTCGTTTTTCAGAGCCACTTAAACGGAAAGCTAAACAAAACGACGACTCAGATAATGATGATTTTTTGGATCGTACAGGCGATGTAGAACGTAAAAAGTTACGCAAATCAAATATTGATAAAAATGTTACTCTGACTTATGAAGATTTGGTAAGTTAATTTGTTTTAAATTACTTATAAATTCTATTATAATATTATAATTTATATAATATAATTTTAATTTATATAATATAATTATAATTAATATAATATAATTATAATTAATATAATATAATTATAATTAATATAATATAATTATAATTTATATAATATTATTATAATTTATATTATACTATATATTATAAAATATTTATACTTATAAATAAAAATTTATGTTTTATATGTTTTACATATAATATATATGTATTTTACTCAGATTAAGAAAGAAACAGACATTCAAGAGCATTTAAAGCAAGTAGAGTCCAATATACAAAAGTACCAGGATAAACAGAAACGAATTAAAGAAAATAAGGTTCAGCAGGATAAAATAGATGGAGATTTGGATGCGTTCATGGAAAATTTAAATGATGATGATGAACAACTGGATAAAACTAATATACGTAAATTACGTGTAAGTTCGAAAAAGAAGACTTTAATTCAAATAAAAATTAATCATATATTTTTTTACAACAGATGGAGGAACAGCGGCTCAGGTTGGAACAAAATAAAATTGAGCGCCTTATTAAAATTGCAAAACCAACACTGATAGCTTTTACAGCATGCACATCAACCCAACAAACAACGAATACAGTTGGCAAACCTAAACAATTACCAATGATTGGTAAACGTAATCAGTTTAGTAAATTTAAAGTCATTAAACCAATAACTGCAAACGTAAAATCTACAGTGACGAAATTCGATGACAATGGTGTTGAAATTGAAGAAGAGGAAGACGAGGATGAGGACGAGAAAGAAGAAAATAATAAAATTGTAGAATCTAAATCAGAAGATTGTACTCATAAAGTATCTGCAACACAAATTTCTCCTAAACATGACGACAAGGACGAAAATGCTCAATCAATAGATAATAATGTTAAGGAAACTGTATCAACATCTACAATGAATGAGAAAACAGCCAATTTAACAATATTAACGAATAAAAACATGAAAAAACCAATTACAGAAGGAAATGAAAAAACTGATTCTATACCTGTAGTTACAAATGCAATACCTGTCACTGAAATGCCAAATGAAGCTAAAAAGCGTCATCGACAGAAACAACGTATTCGTAACAAAAGAGAAGAATTCGACTTGGACGAACTCGAAGAACATGAATCTTCCGAAAAATATGCAAAATGGGTACCACCAGAAAACCAGACTGGTGATGGCTTTACAGAATTAAATAAAAAATATGGTTATTAAAGTAGATTTAATGTGTTTTTAAAAATGATGTCTATTATTTTTTATTGTTTTATTATTACTACTTCCTTTATGAGAAACTAAAGTATCATTAAGTTTATAAGCCATTTATTTATTCACTCTTTCTGGCAGTCATTGCAAAGTGCACGAAATGCAAAAATGCTATACTAAAATTGCAGGAGTGCAAGAACACATTTGTTGCAGAATTGCAACATCTGTGTTTGAAACAGCTGCTTTTGCAGCATACCACATCCACATAAGAAGTAACAAATGTCAAAACAGCTGGTTTTTTTCTTCCTTTTTTATGTCATTGCAAGCATATACATATATATGGGTTTAGGTATAGCAAGATTGCAACCAATTGCAAGAAACTTTGTGCGAGTATATTGTTGATGTCTATTCCAAGCGCGTGTAATCTGTGCATTTTAAATGAGTGAATAGCCCTAATATTTTACTGACAAATAATATTTACTGTTGGTTGCAAGCATTTGCTCAATTCGAACTTTCTATAATAGAGAAGTTTTTGAACACTTGCGAATTCCAACAATTTTTTTGTAATTATATGAATTTTTGGCTGACCATATAATTGTCTCGAGTATTACGAAATAAATAACCGTCAGTGGTGTTTTTTATTCCTTTTATTGTTTTTTTTTTCGTTTTATTGTTATTTATTCCTTTTTATTATTGAGTTGTTCCCAACTCTATATATGAATATATATAAACTGCAATTGTCAAATAGTCCGTTCACATGGGATGGAACAAGAAATACCGGCAAGGGAAAGAACTTAGTACAAAGAATGAATATGCATAGCATAGTAGTTTTGTATATACACATATAATGGATTTGGTTGATTTAAAAAATAATTTACTTTGCATTTCGTATATTCGTATAATGCGCAATTCCGAACATTTTAAATAACCTTTGCTGCGCATCTACTTATGCTTTTAAGTGACAATAATCATTTATGTTGCGAATCATTGATTAGAAAAGTAAAAAAACTTCAAATTATATTAATAACAAATATTCAAAATATGAATATTTTTTAAGGTCATATAATATAGTAACATTAAAAGTAACATACGAGTAACATTAAAAAATACGAAATTATTTAGCGATATCAGATCATCTAAATATTGTAAACTTTAAAAATTTGTTTTAAAAAGCACAAACCTAAATTTGCATTAAAGTCAGCTGTTGAGTATTTTACATGTTGCCTTATGACTACAGATTAATTTTATGATATATTTATATTAAAAGCAATGAATAACTAAAAATTTAAATGGTTAGGCTCGTTTGACACTATCAAAATTTTGACGTTTAGTTTGTAGTTGGATGTGTTGTCATTTTGATTTCTGTTCAATACAATCATTCGTATTGTAGACTTGCTTATGTTAAGTGCATGCGAATTGGAAATATTTTTTGGTATTAAACTATTGGTAAGTGATTATTATGTACAATTAACGTAATATTTAAATAGATATAATATTACTATCTAATTTAATTTAATTGTATAATATAAAACATCTTATAAATTTATTCTATGTTTTCTGTTCATATAATATAGTTATATCAAATAAATCTTGTTTGAACAAATAACTACAAATTAAATCATTTAAAATTTTGAATAATATAAATGTCAATACAGCAATAATACTATACATATATTGCTTTGATTTATTTATTACATATCACCAGACATTTTATGCAACATATATGTAAGTATATATAAAACGACACAAAATACGGTTGCTCACAGGTCCAGTCTTTGCGAGTGCAATCCTGCAGTTGAATTTATTTTTTTTTTGCAGTACGACAGCTGCAACAATTCATTACATTTATTAAAATAATTGTAAATGTTTTTTATTACATTCCAAATTTTTACTTAATTTTAAATATTTATTAATTGGCAGCACCTTACACTGATGTCAATTTGTCAATTTGGCGGCAAATCTTTATTTAAAAACGAATGGAAATGGATTTTAGTCAGTCGCTGATTATAAGTGAAAAAACGTTCAATAATCTCAATTATGAAGAAAAAATTGCAATAAATGAAGGAGGTCCAGGCGTTAACGATAGAGCTGATGTGATACAGGAATCGCCGACGCGAGCAAAAAATGGGGCACATCAATTAAGCAAAACGAACAATGCTTCGAACAAGAAGAACAGACGTCATCTACGCAAAAGTATATGCAATTCCAAATCAGCTAAAAAAGTGTTAAAAACTGACTTACACAATTCATCGGTAGAGAATAATAAGTCTGAAAAAGAAATTGTGTACAAAGTAGATGAAGTTGTCAAAGTTATTGATATAAGCGATCAAAGCGATATCGAATCAAATTATGAAATGCTGAATAAAAACTTGCAATATTCCGAGATACAAGAGCAACTAGACGTAAGCAGCTTCTTGGGACCAATTGAAACGTCAAAAGACAAACTGAATTGCAGGTCTGAAGAAACAAAAAAAGCGGCAGACAAACAATTCGTACAATCTCAAACAGAAAAACAAAAAGCTCAAGCAGAAACTTTGCATTCTTCGCCAAAAAGAACTGTTGCATTAGATTTTGAATCTTTAAAAGATATAGGCAATTGGTATTTGCCAAAGAGCATAGTGACCGAGTATAAGAGGAAGGGTGTTATTAAAATGTTCGATTGGCAAGTTGAATGCCTAAGCAACTCAAAGGTAACCAAATTCAATATAGTGAAACCCATTTAATTTATTTTCATCGTTTAGGTATTGTTCGAGCACTGCAATTTAGTATATTCTGCGCCCACCTCTGCTGGCAAAACGTTAGTTAGTGAAATTTTATTACTGAAAACAGTTTCGGAACGAGAAAAAAAAGTATTACTAATACTTCCTTTCATATCAGTTGTGCGTGAAAAAATGTACTATCTACAAGATCTTTTGACGCCAGCAGGTTATAGAGTCGAAGGATTTTTTGGTGGTTATGCACCTGCTGGAGGGTTTGATAGTATAAACGTAGCAGTTACTACGATAGAGAAAGCTAACTCCATTGTAAATAAACTACTGGAACAAGGAAAACTAGACACCATTGGTACGATTATTGTTGATGAGATACATTTAATATCAGATCCGGCTCGAGGTTATATACTCGAATTACTTATTGCAAAAATATTATATATGACCAGTAAATACGGAATGACTATTCAGATAATTGCAATGTCAGCTACATTGGCGAATGTGAAGTTGTTAAAGCGTTGGCTTACTGCAGAGCAATTCGTAACAAGCTTTAGGCCCGTAGCACTTAAAGAAATGATAAAAATAAATAATGAAATATTCGATGTGAAATTCAATCGAATTCGTGACGTTACTATTAATGGAGTAGTTGACGAACCGTTTCCTGTTTTACAAAATGATACAGACCACGTCGCACAGTTGTGCCTTGAAACTGTAGCACATGGCTGTTCTGTTATAGTGTTTTGTCCGTACAAAGATTGGTGCGAAAATTTAGCTCTCCAATTAGCAAAGAATATACGTGCAGTATGTAAAAATGGTGGAATTTGGGGTAGCCAGCTTCAGCAGCAATTAAATCGTACAGATCTGGACGAAGTTAAAAAGCAGCTTGAAGATATACCAGCAGGTAGGTGTAAAATGGAAATTATTTTGTTAAAAAGCTGAATATGCAAAATTTTATTTTAATTTTTGAAATCAGGCCTTGATGAGTTATTAGGAAAAACAATTATGTTTGGCTGCGCTTTTCATCACGCAGGCTTAACAACTGAGGAGCGTGATGTAGTCGAGACATACTTCAAATCTGGAGCATTAAAAATAATTGTTGCTACGAGTACTTTAAGTTCAGGTTAAATAATATATAATTTTTAAGATGTAATTATTTTAAATGATATTTATTTATCAGGTGTAAATTTGCCTGCTAGACGTGTTATCATACGTTCACCATTGTTTGCGGGAAAATCCATGAATTCCATCACATACAAACAAATGATAGGACGCGCTGGTCGCACTGGAAAGGTTTGCATTTAAGTAAACATTATGCAAATATATTTTTAATTTTGAATCTTATCTTCTAAGGATACGCTGGGAGAATCCATATTAATATGCAATAAAAGTAATGCCGATGTTGGTAAAGCATTAATAACAGCCGATCTGCAGCCTATATCATCCTGTTTAGAAATAAACGATAGTGTAAGTAATATGCTGAAGTTTCAGTTATTTGCTTTATTAATAAAAGTATCATTGAAGGCATTTATGTTAATCGAATTTTATATATATGGTCTATGTTTTATAACAAATACGACTATAAAAAATCTATATAATGATATTATTAAGTTGTTGGAATATTATTATTATATATTATATCATATTCTCTTGATTAATAATAATATCATATTATTATACAATTATCTGGTGTGAATAGAAACTAAAATGACATATATGCATCAAATTTTAGTGAATATATCATATTACTAGTTTCCAAAAACCAGTGTATGCTTGAAACTCTATTTAGTTTTTCATTCTTGCTAAGCATTTGTAGTGTTTAGTATTATGATGATGAATTGGAATTCGAAAATGCTTTCAAAATAGTTCATGATGAAGTAGAAAAGTTAAAGTTTGATTTAAGGTCAGCTCTTTTGCTATTGAATGAAATAAATATTAATTCTTGTATGCTATATATATATATATATATATCAGTAACATAATAATAATAATATTGTCGTTACCCGTGTTGTGGCGTATATAGTTTATAGTTGTTGTTATTGTTTAACATTATAATTTTGTTATTGTAATCCACTTCAATGCCCGTTCAGTTTTTACGTCTCAGAGCAACTATTCAATATGGGTTACCAAGTGCAGCTTATAACTTCTGCGAGTGAAACTACAAGAACGCTGATTTGAAGAAACTGATTTGAAATTTATAGTTTTTACTAATAACATAGATATATGCTATTAGTTCCAGATTGCACATATGACTATAATGTAGATAAATTCTTCGTTTAAACAAGTATAAACCTAATGGTTCAAGAATCCGATAAAAATTTACACTTCACTATCAAATAATGTAATAATATTTTGGTTAACATAATTTACTTCTAAATTAAACTTGCCATAAATTGACATCCTTATATAATATTTTATTATTAATATTAATATTATTCATTAATTATTATTAATTAATATTATTAATTTTTAATATTATTATTTTATTGTTAACAGATAGTTAAATGTTTTCTTAATTTTTGAGATTAAGAGATTTTAATTTTGATATATTCGCTAAATTTATTATGAAAATCTATTATCTACCTATTATCTATTATATTATGAAATAGAGCTGTTCATGTAGACATTGTATATCAGGTTTTATATATGTCATAATAGTACCTGTATATAATACCTTAATGCATTTAAAGACTAAGAATAGGTGTTAGCAAATGAGGATTAAATTATTTATATCTACTTAGTTATATTTATATCAATAAAAGATAGAGTGGTAATCTGTATCTCAAATGTAAAATTATACATTTTTTTTTAAATAGAAATTATTAAAATCACATGTTTGTATATGTTTTTATTTTAGACACATTTAAAACGTGCTCTATTAGAAGCAATAGCATCGGGTGTCGTGATGACAAAGCAAGACATCGATAGATTTGTTAAGTGTACACTACTAAGTGTACAAAAGTTACTCGTCATAGAAGGAAACGGTTGTTTAAGTGAAGACTATGCGTATACCAGCGATTCATTGAAATATTTGATTGACAATGAATTCGTGCGATTGCAAATAAATGAAGAAACGACCGAAGAAACGTACGTTCCAACCCGATTGGGAATGGCATGTTTAGGTAAATTTACATAAAAAATTTTTCTAATGGAAAATGTTAACGTCAAGATATATTAAAAATAAGATGTATAATTGTTTTCCTCTCTTATATTGTTTAATTCTAATTTTTTTTGCAATGCCCTATCTGGTCTATACCTGCTCTCTACTTCCGGTATCCCTTTATTGCTTTTTAAACTATTTATAATAATTTTAATTTTATAGAAACTACTGAGGATACAGAATACATTTCTATAAATATATCATATTATTTCATTCTTAATATTAACCATCTAATTTTTTAGCTTCATCTATGCCACCAGCTGATGGTCTATTACTGTTTGCTGAATTAAAAACGGCTAGACACTGCTTTGTATTAGAATCAGAACTACACGCTGTATACTTAGTAACCCCATATTCTGTATGCTATCAATTACAAGACTTAGACTGGTTGCTATATCTTGATATATGGGAACACCTGACACCAGCTATGAAAAAAGTCGGCGAATTAGTTGGAGTTAAAGAATCTTTTCTAGTTCGTGCAATGCGTCAACAAACTAAATTAGATTATAAACAAATGCAAATACACAAGAGGTATACTCGTTTTTATAAGATAATATATATTAATATTTATTAATTTTTTAATTTTTTACCAATTACAGATTCTATACCGCTTTAGCTCTACAAGAACTCATTGAAGAAATACCAATTAAACAAGTGGCATTTAAGTACAAGTGCACACGTGGTATGTTGCAAGGATTACAGCAAATTTCATCCACATTTGCGGGAATCGTAACAGCTTTTTGTAACTCATTAGAGTTTTCAACACTTTCACTAATATTGTCGCAATTTAAGGAGCGTTTATACTTTGGTATACATAGAGATTTAATAGATTTGATGCGTTTACCTGATTTAAATTACAAGCGCGCTCGTGCTCTTTACGACGCCGGTTTAACGTCAATTGTTAAATTAGCAAATGCTGATGTGTTTTCTGTGGAGAAAATAATGCACAATTTATTAAGTTTTGATTCTGCAAAACAACATGAAAATGAAAATGTTTATGAAGCCGAACAACGTAATGTGCTAAGAAATTTCCACATAACCGGCAAATCTGGAATAACTGTAGCAGATGCCGCAAAATTATTGGTGCAAGAAGCGAGACGATTTGTACAATATGAAATTGGCGTGGGCACTATTAATTGGGCGCAAAACACAAAAAATGATTTGGAAACAGATCGGATCCATATGTCATACGAAGAAGAAAATTTAAAAGTTTGCAATAGAAAAAGAAAATCCTCAGAAAATTTAAATACAAGTCAACTTAAAATAGCAAAATCTATAGAAAGTAAAGAAAAACATCTTATTGAGCTCTGTACGGAACTAAATGATAAACCAAGTACTAGTGCAAAAGCGAAAGAAACTTTACATAAAATAAATACACTGGAAAAAGAAATTAAAGAGACATCTGGTGAAAAATTAATGATAACTAGTTCGGGAAATAATAATAAGCAAACTAATAATGAGGATATGGTAGGAAAACAATTTTCCGAGTTAAAATTAACTAATTTGATAAAGGAATCTACTAATTTGATAAAAGAATCTACAATTAACAACAAAGAAGAGTTAAGTAAATATGAGAAAACAATAGATAATAAAAAATATAATTTACGCACGTCTGAGAAGAAAAAACCCATCTCAGTTGTCAATGATGGTCAAATAATTAAGAGCATTGAAATAGAACCACAAACGGTTACAACGATATCATTATCAAGACTCAGTCCAAATTTGAAAAAAACTCAAACTACTGTTAATGAAACTGGTAATAAAACTGTTAAAGACACCAATGACATACAAAAGAGTCTGGTACATTCACAAAATTCGGTGACAATACCACGTCGTAGTCTACGTAATCATTCAAAAGAAACAACAAAAAATATGATTGACGTATCTATGACGGATGAATCCTTTGAATTAAACAGGGACATAGCTGAAGTACTGGATACCGATAAAACGAATAAAGATAGTAAATATTTCAATGAAATACAAAATAGTCTGGCACATTTACAAAAATCGGTGACAATACTACGTCGTAGTCGACGTAATCATTCAAAAGAAACAACAAATAATATGAATGATGCATCAATGACGGACGAATCCTTTGAATTAAACACGGGCATAGCTGAATTACTGGATATCGACAGAGGAGATAATAATGATAAAGACACCAATGAAATACAAAAGAGTCTGGCACTTTCACAAAATTCGGTGACAAAACCACGTCGTAGTCGACGTAATCATCTAAAAGAAACAACAAAAAATATGAATGACGTATCAATGACGGATGAATCCTTTGAATTAAACACGGGCATAGCTGAATTACTGGATATCGACAGAGAAAATAATAATGGTAAAGACACCAATGAAATACAAAAGAGTCTGGCACATTCACAAAATTCGGTGACTATACCTCGTCGCAGTCGACGCAATCATTCAAAAGAAACAACAAAAAATATGAATGACATGTTAATGACAGACGAATCCTTTGAATTAAACACGGGCATAGCTGAAGTACTGAATATCGATAGCGAAAAAAAAGATGTACAAGACAAAAATGAAATACAAATGGGTCTAACGTATTCCCAAAATTCGGCAACAAACCCATGCCGCAATCGACGTAATTATTCAAAAGGAACAACAAAAAATATGAATGACATGTTAATGACAGACGAATCTTTTGAATTAAACACGGGCATAGCTGAAGTACTGGATATCGATAAAACAAATATTAAAAAACAAAACAGTGTTGCACATACACATAATTTGGAAACACGATCACATCAAAATCAACGTAAGCACTCCACAGAAAGAACTTCCAACGCCGCTACTTCAACAAAAGCTATCATGGAGCAAAAAACACATATGAGTGACTTGTTAATCACAGATGATTCCTTTCAGCTGAACACGGGCATAGCTCAAATGCTGGATATTAAATTAACAGAAACAAATGCTACTCCTATCGTCGAAGAAAAAGAAACTTTAAATATAAATAATGATGATGAAATACCTAATTCACAGCTAGCAGAAAATAAAGAACTTGAGAAAACACCGTTCAGATCTCGCTTAATACGTACACGACGTGCAACCTTTAAAGAATCGGAAATTAACTCGGGTTTAGAAACTAATAATAATGTACATAATACTGAGAACTCAACAGGTGTTTCGATTGAAATATCTGATCCATCGATTAAAGGTTGTCTAATAATGGATCCATCACATATTAATGCTACAAGTATTAGTAATAATGCTACAACTTCTTCTAGTTTTGAATGTGTGAAAATTGTAGACATTTGTGGTAATATACAAATTTTCCAATCAACTTTTGAAGAGTTGATGACTTCTAAATGTTTTGGTTTCTGTTTGGGCTTGGAGAATATCTTGGAGAAACAAAAACCTGTCATAGGTGCAAACGCAGCTATTAATCAAGATTTAACAAAAGAGGAAGTTGAAGCTACAATGGATACGGCAAATTTTCAGATTGATAGTGCATGCTTTTTAGCTGGCATTGCTTTTTGCGTGTCAGAAAATATAATTTACTATATGAACATGCAGGAAAAGGAATCGAATCCTGCTGTGACCACAAAATTAAAGTGTGAATACCTGCATATGATACTTAAAGCAAAAGAAAATACTTTGCTGATATTTGATGCTAAGGAACAATTAAAAACTTTACGTAAACTTCTGCCAGATTTAGGAGAAATTTGTGCTGAGTTCGGAGATCCAAAAGTAGCAAATTGGTTACTTCAACCTGATAAAACAGTAACTTTCAAACAAATGGTAAATCAATTGGTGATAAATAAAATATTGTAAATAATATAACATTTCAATCTTTAAAAAGGTTCATCAATTTGCTCCGGAATGCACTGGATTAATTGGTCTGTGTGGAAATAGCGGGAGGGGAACAAAAAGCTATGGCTTAGATAAATATAATGGTATATCGGCCAAAGTTAGGTAATGTTTTCATTTCTATTATTATTTTGAGACTAGTTGAGTTAGTGCACTTGAGCACTTTTACTCTCTATATAATATATATTTTACATAAGTTTTTCTATTAAAAAAATTGACTACAATAATCAATTGTACTTGATTTCGGATTAATCTCTACACTTTCAAATACGGAGCATTGATGATAAAAATTTTTCTTTGCTTTCTTTCATAAGTATTTTATATTTTTGTATCAAAAAGTAATGTATACCTAGTAATATTAATATTAATGGATGGTAATAATAGTAATATTAATGGATATAATCTAATTAAAATTTAATCTATTTTTATATATATTATTTATTTTTTTAAAATTTGTAAACCTCTTATATGCATTTCAGATCTTCAATAGAAGCCTGTTGCACTATACATATTTTAAAAGAGCAAATTGAAAGATTGAAGAAAATCGGAAACGGTTCTTTACATCAATTTTTTTTAAGTAAATTTATTGTTTAATTAGCATTCCAATGGAAAGTTTCTTAATTTTTAAATTATTTATTACAGAAACTGAAATGCCACTGCAGCTTTCACTTTGCAACATGGAAACGATTGGTTTTCCTACAAGTGAGTCTGAACTGCACATGTTAATAAAAAAATTGTTGTGTCTTCAGAGAAAATTGGAAACAACAATATATGAAACGCATGGCAGGCGATTTAATCTTACTTCATCTTCGGAGGTGGCGAAAGTAAGTTTTAAATAAATATCTATATTTATATAGTGTATTGTATGCTTTCCGAAATCAAACTTTAACTGCTTTATAGATTATTTGTATGCAAAGACAGTAGATAATGAAAGTATATATTTATTTATTTATTGTATTAGATTGTGTCCATCTAATACATTTATTTTTTTTTCCATATCTGATTTTTCCATACTGATATTTCAATTTAAATGTTTGCACCGGAGATTTAGGCCTTAAATAGAGTAACATTGCGTTAGCACGTGTTTTCTGAACATCATCAAAACATAATAAAAAGATTTACTTGAATTTATTCAACGACATAGTCTTGTATTTATTTTTGTGCATAAACTTACAGCCTCTCAAATTCCTTCGTAACCAATTATTGGTTACAAAGCCATACCCACATATCGCTACATAGTAATACACTGGACATAGTCATGGTTATACCTTTTAGTTTTAAGATTCGTGATATATATACTCCCATAAATACGAGGGCGGCTTGATAAGTCAGTGACTTTTTGAATTTTTCGCGCAGTGAAAAAAATAGAATTTCGTGTGCTGATTAAGCATTACGATCCGAAATCCATGAATTGGGATATGAACTGCTATCCCATCCAGCATATTCTCTAGATTTAGCCCCCTGCGACTATTTTCTGTTTCCAAACCTAAAGAAATGGCTGGGCAGTAAGAGATTTGAGTCGAATGAAGAAGTCATTACCGAAACAAACGCGTATTTTGGGAGCTTTGAGAAAACCTATTATTTGGAGGGAATAAGAAAATTAGAAAAACGCTGGACTAAATGTATCGAGCTAAAAGGTGATTATGTAGAAAAATAAAAAGTTTATTTGCCGAAGAAAATTTGTTTTATTCAAAAAGTCACTGACTTATCAAACCGCCCTCGTAGTAAACTAAATGGAATTGACTATTACAGTTTTATTGGAAGCTTTCATATTTTCAATTTCCTTGATTTTTAATTCTGTTCTTCTGTAAATAATCAAATTCATTTTAAATTTTTAAGTACATTTTACCTCATTTTAATCGATATTAGGCATTATACATATTTATACACTGTTGTTTAAACTAGTAAATAATTGTTCTAAGTAGATCTCACGTCTCTCCCGCCAATTTTAATTTCGTTAAATTTAGTTACTGTTGTTATAACACATATAATTGTCACGTTTTTGGAGAATCTTTTTCAGCCTAGTGTGGTATGCTGATGAGACTAAGCGGCACTTGATCGTTGCTGACAAGTGGTTCCCAAACATAGAACTAACCGAAACTGATGTGTTTTATATAATCATTTTATTTAGTAGAGAGATTTTGAAAAGTAGTAGACCCTAACAACAAAAATTAGTTTTTATATTATTTTAATTAATTGAATTTTTGGATGATTATACTGCTGCTTCGAGTATAGCCAAATACCCATCATCAGTGCTCTTGAAATTGTTTCTTATATTAAATTATTCTTAAATAGTTTATTTTTAAGATTGCTAATACTATGCGTTGAACTCGTACCCTACCAAATTCGAAGCTTACAGTCAGCGTTCATTAGCCAACTGACCCAAAGCCGTACTTGACTTTTAAGTTCTCACATTTTTCTGGAGTTTTGTTACTTTTAGTTTTAGAATAATTTAATTAATTAATTATATTTATTATTTATTAAAACAAATTACTAATATATTTTTATTATACATTACAAAAGGTGCTTGGATTACATCTCAAATCTGGTAAACGTATTACCACATCAAAGCAAATTTTAGAGAAAATAGAATCACCTATTTCTAAACTAATAATTAACTACAGAAAAGTAAATAGTATCTTCACGAATAATATTCTACCACTATCGGAGTGTGTTAAGAACAATAGGTTCGTGTTGATGTTGAAGTTGATGATGTATTCTGGAAAATAAATAATTTAATTTCAGAATATACGGTGAAAGTAACACATTTACTTCCACTGGACGCATATCAATGGTGGAACCAAATTTACAAAATGTTGCTAAGAACTTTGAAGTATATACAGGTGAGCAAGCATAATATTTTTATAAAAGTTGAAACTGTATTGTATTTTTTATGAATTAATAGGAGAAGATAGTGATAATTTGGAAATATCTTGTCGTCGTGCATTTTACCCAACAGATCCAAAGCGCTGGCTTATATCTATTGATTTTTGTCAACTAGAGATGCGCATACTAGCGCATTTATCGAAGGTTCGTGGTATTCCAGAAGTACTCACTGCTATTAATATACAATTTAATTTTTTGCATTCTTCTTTGAACAGGACCCTGCATTATTAGAAGTTATGCGTACGAAAAAGGATATTTTTACTGCTATAGCCGCAAGTTGGTATAAAGTATCCGATGATAATGTTACAGACCAATTAAGAAATGATACCAAGAAAATATGTTACGGCATTGTGTATGGCATGGGTATGTGTAGTTTAGCAGATTCTCTTAAATGCACTGAAGAACAGGCCAATTTGCTCTCAAGAGAATTTCATGCTGCATATCCTTATATTAGGTATAATTTCTACTTACAAAAACTATGTAAAATTTATTTTCAACATGTATATATATAATCTACTTTTTTTCGTATTATTTTTTGATATAGCTTAAAACCTCATATATTTATATATATATATATTTAAGTAGTAAGTTTTTATTTTATATCTATATTTTTTTGTGTAGTAGATAGTTCACTAATTTTGTCTTTGTCCTATATAATATTCCCAAAACCGCACTAAATTTTCGTTTTAATATATTTCTATTATTGTGATTAT